AAACATAATAAACAGCAATTTTAACCTAATGGTACATAGACACTTTTGAGCATTTTTTATTTTTTTATTTTTTTATGCACCAATATATCAAAACATAAACAGCAATATTAACCTAATATTGAATTAGATGTATCCAGTTTATTTATTGAAATAAAAAAATATTTACTGAAAATACTAGTAAAGATAAAAAAATAAATGAAAAAGAAAAAAATATATATGTGCATTTTATTATTATAATTTTTTTTTTCAAATTAATGGTGAAATAAAAAGTGTGTTAAAATCGATGAGAATTGTATATTGCCAATCTTTACTTAAACAATGAATTCCAGTTCTAAAAGGATACTACTAAACTACTAAACCAAAAAAATCGTACAGTATTACAATTCGACTTGCTGTTAGGTGACTTCTCAACATATTGTTTCAGTAGTGCCACCATTTTATGAAGCAACAACCACAAGTCTTCCATTTTTAAAACAGCTACACAATTCACAGCCTCTCGAGACTTATAGCTCAATCAGCACTCTTACGCTCTACAATCTGACAGCGAAATGCATCTAAAAAACCCTTGACAGCACACAGGTACGGCTTTTAACCAGAACCTAGAATTAACCAATTAGCAAATCTTAATAGACCCTCCATTTACACCTCAAACGCAAATGAACCCATCCATCAAATTTCACGCACATGAAAAGAAAATCAAAATTCGTTTACACGTTTCAATTGACTCAATTGAGATGGGCCTCTCTTGTAGATATAAATCAGTACATTCACTTGCCATCTTCTCGCTGTTTTCAATATTCATGTCAATATTCCACATCCCGTGTAGTTATTCATTTACATGGAAATGAGCTGAGGTAAGTGTCATGACATTATGTGGATGAACGCCGCAATCCCCCCGACTGCGGCAGGCCAAAGCCAAAGCTCAGACGCACTGGAAATATCACACACATTCACAGATGCACTAGACATACAAAACACAACAGGTGCACTGTGGGCCAGCTTTATTTATGAATACAATTTGACCAAAATGTGCTAGCTATAAATAAACAAATAGTTGAAAATTAGGCCATTATTCACTCATTATATACTCTCATGTCATCTCAAACCTGCATGGTGTAATTTTTTTCCATGCAACACACAAGGAGACATTTTAAAGAATCATTCTTTTAAATAATTTTTTTAATATGGACTAACAAACAAAAAACAAAAAAAAATCCATAGAAGTACATATGAATTGTGTGCACTATATTATGGAAGCCCATTTCGGCCACAGAATAAAAATGTAAAAAAGATAATTCTGACTTTTTATCTCACAATTTGATCTTTGTTTCCTGTATTCATGAAGAAAAACGTCAGTTTATATGTCGAAATTCTGAGTTTATATCTTGCAATTCTGAGCAGCTTTGACGAAACTCCTCTCAGCTAGCACGTCTTTTCAAAGTAAAAAAGTAGCCTTGTCACCTGACCTGAATACAGTGTGCTGATTCGCTAAAAAGGACTTATCGGCTTATATATATATATATATATATATATATATATAGAGAGAGAGAGA